CACTGTGCTGCTGTTACGCTGCACACGAGCGGCTACTGCACGATGAGACAATCCAGCTTCACGAAGGCTGATGATTCTCCCCCTTTCAAACTCCGTAAGTTGTTGAAATCTCGCTCTCTTTCGTCGAAGAGGCATAAGTAACGTCTGAGCTAACGTTTACCACTAGCAGATAGCCACCGATAACCATACACGCCTCGCTACAGCCGTCTATTTATTTGGATCCATCCGCCGTTCAGAGGGCGGTGCTCAGCATACGCATGAGCTACGGGTCTGAAATTCTAATCATTTGCATATCATGCTCTACTTTGCATTTCCTGAAAATTTCAGCTCACTCGCGTAAGTCCTTCATGGTGTTGCAATTTTCACAAACATGAGTTTATATATATGTACACACAGATTACAGATAGATAGATATACACACACACATTTATTTTTTAAAATTACCTTTATGAAATAAACAACATTATTTGGTTTTGTATCATTTGAGGCAGCTTCAGTTTTAACTAATAAATCCAATCCATCGAATTGATTGTTTAAAACCCAAGCAGCCACGTTTTGAGGATTGATAGTCACGTTAGACACGTCAACAGAAATAGTTCCTAAGATTTGGAGCCTGTGATTCAATGAACGCAGATAGGTAAATTTCTCTGAAAAATAAAATTTGAAATAACGTTAGCTTCAACAATGAAAAAATAAGTCTTTTAAAAAGAAAATATTATCAATTAAACTTTCAAGAGTCAAAAATAGAAAAAAAAATTTAAAAAAATTACAAATTAAAAAAAAAAATTAAAAAAACTAAATGTGTCACCATTTTGAAATTAAAATAATATTCAAGAAGTAACAGATGATTTTAAAAATCTATCAACGATAAACTGAAGAAACGCTGCGTTCTACTTAGGAGATAAATTTACCAAGATTTAAAATTAATTACGAAATTTCACAACAGATGACTCGACAAACTAGAAAAACTTAAAAACCAATGTCTCCTGCTGTATGCCAAGATATTTCAATTTAGTAATATTTTTTACTTCAGTTTTCTTTTAGTATGTCCACAGACAGCGCCATGCTTTTTTCCGCAAAAAGTGGTTGTTTTAAAAACAGTATGCATTATTTTTTTAGCAACTCCATATGTTGAAAGTTTGTAACAAACTTTTAAATTTACGGAAAATAAACTAAGTGGTTTTTATAGAAGCGAATGGTCATAATTAACTTTCAAGTTGTCATTCTTATATTTCTCAGGTTTTGAGTTTTAGAACTAAAATCGCTATTTTTTGAGCAATCGGTATTTCTGAAATAATATTTTGTTTATAAAAGTTAAAATATAAATATTAACTTTTATAACATTTATATTTTAACTTTTAAACTATAAAAGTTGTAAGAACAACTTTTATAGTTTCCTATTTTGAGTTTCTAAACCTGGAGCATTTTTAAACATTGAAATTTCTAAAGTTTAAAACAATATAAAGAATTTTTTGTTGATTTTAAGGTCGAAAGCAGTCAAAAGCACTTAAAAAACACTAATTTTAAGTTAGAAAAATATAGTTTACCCTTAAAAGGGAATGCTCAAAATTTTTCAGCATTTAATTTTTAAGAGTTTTCTTTTGTTCAATGAATAAGAGACTAAACATGGTTCTTTTATCTCTGGGAAACTGCCTTAACTTACTTAAATCTGAAGCTGAAGTTTCAAAATCTAGGAGGATGTGCGTGCAGAGGCATGGATTTATTTCAAATACTTGAAGTTTCCCTCCGTTCAAAAAACGACAAAATATGACTTTGTCTGATAAGTCATTTTTACAGATATTGGCTGCAAAATAAAAATATAAACATTTCAGCATGTATTTAAATTTAAGGATTACTCCCGTAAAAAGAGGATATGTGTGAGAATATTAGGAACACAATAGACAGTTATGATTCGTTATTGAAGAGGGAGGCAAGAGGAGTGCATTGCAAACTGTGTGTAACTGATTAACCAGATCAACTGAAAGCATTTAAAGTGAATGTAAAGTCAACCTAAGAATGATGCGCCTAGTTACAGTGGCGGAAGATGACTGCACAGATTGTTACGAGCAATGGTCGGAAGTATGCTACTGTAGTCGCTACTTTTTTAATAGTTTGTAGTGTAGGGTGCTACTTTTTTAAGAAACCTAGTGTAGTAAATAATGCGATACAAAAAAAACAGGAAAAAAAAAAACAGTAGTTTGTAGCTATTTCTGGCAACTACTTTTAACGTTAGTTTAGAAAAGAAACACGGTTCTAACGCAGCTGATTTTTCGAATTTGATGGGTTCAAATCCTCGCGGGTCCGTTAATGAATGCAATGAAAATGACCCAGTAGCTTTAGTTGAGGGTTTACAGAAATTGCTTATTTAAAATCACGTATAACTAATATTTAAACTAGCCATCATTATAAAAAAATAGATAATTAATCACTCTGGTCACTTTCTCACACGTTACTGCACACTCGTGAAACATTGGTGCTATTTTAAAGGATGGGAAGGCATTTTCGATGTACTTAATCTCTTAGGTGGAAATAAAAGAGCATTAAACAATTAAAAAATTGCAAGTATTTCATAATTTCGTATTTCTTAAATTAAATATTCGCTGTCGAAAAAGACATAAAAAGTTGAAGGTTAAATGATCAAATTCTAAAAGAAAAATATTTTGGAATGACAGACTTGGTCATGTAAACATGAATAAGTATTTCTTAATTATTCCCTTATACTTATTGTAAGCCAATTTCTTATTCAAAACAATTTTGAACGTAGGTGCAAATTATGTTCTGCAAAGTTCATCTCCTTAAAGTAGTGAAGTAGTTACTAAAATCAAAAGTAATTTGTAGTCACTACATTTAAAGAAAAGTATAGTTGTTGTAGTGAACTACATTTGTAACAAAGTAGTTTTAGTTGTTGTAAACTACAAAAATAATGCAGTTTTTCCGACCACTGCTTACGAGTCGTAATACTTTCATTACCTCTAATAATTTCAGCTGGAGCAGCAATGGATTCATGAGAGATCAAGCTGTTTGTTTCTCTCGAATCTCAGAAAATTTGAAGGTGATAAAAACTTTTACCCTATTTGTTCACATTTCTAGCCATAAACTGCGTAGAAATGGCTGCAATACGCTCATTTTTGACATCAAAAAAATTGTACTAAATCTCATTGCAAGACGTTCTGTTTTATATGCATCCCTCTTAGGACGACTTTACATTCACTTTAAATGTCCTCATGGAAAATTGGTTAATGAGTTATACTCATACTGTTGTGCACCTCTCTTACCTTAATTTATAATCCTGAGAGGTGACACTGCTATCGCTACTTTATATCCGAGGCTATAACATGTATCCACTTTTTATTTCGATAACCTTAATATTTTATATCATTTGTGTATAAATGTACATTAAAATATTGATAAAGACTCATTTTAATTAAGAAAAGTCTTCTACGATCTTTTAAGAATATCAAAATATTGCAAAAGTACAAGGTGTATGTCAATCAATGCTTTTATTATTATATATTTTCAGAAGTCAAGTCTTTAAGCCTACTTATAAGGAGTCTCAAAATTAATATTGAAAAGTGTAAGAACAAAACAACAATTCAAAATATGATGAATCATTAACGAGGTCAATTACAACAAAGATTGGATTAAAGTTAATAGGAACTTAACCACCCCAATAGCTTATTCTGCGAAATCGTTGTATAGCGGAAGGAAAAAAGAAAAGGAGTTCTGGAAATAAGCTGGTGGAGTTTCGTTATAAATTTTAGCATCTATTATCGATGTTTGAGATGTGTCCCTTTCCTAAAATTAATGTTTGACACGAAAGGATAGTTAGCGTTCTTTATTCAAAAATTCGTATGTATTTGCTGAACCAAGTTAATAAGGTTAAATTTCATAATGAAATAAAATTTTGACGGCAGTAAAAAAAAAAAATTTTTAAAAGCAATTTTAAGACCGTATTCTATTTCATTTTAAATCATCAAATATAAATCTTCGACTAGTTTAGAAATATTTTTTTTTTATTTTCTAAAAAAGGATTATATTGAAATTTTAATTTTATGTTTGGTAAAAAAGGGTCCTAAAACCATAAATTTAAAGTAAAGTTTAAAAATTTATAAAATATTTTTCAAAATAAGGGCGAATTTGAGCTAAAAAACTACAAAGTTATGTCACGCTAACTACAACAAATTGTAATGCATAAATTTTAAAGTAAGATTTTTTTCTAGATCAATAAGGTGATTACCTATGTTTGGAACGAAAATCTTAAATAGCGTTCGAAAAAAAGAAAAACAATGAAATAGACTTAAATACATTGCTCAATATTGAATTTTTAAAGAAAAATTTTAAAAATTCTTACTAGAAGCTTGATAAAAATAAATTCTCAGTTAGACCTTAGTTTTTAGTTCAAAACAATGCTAACATTATTCAAAATCTGTTTACAAAATTTAAAAGAATTTTATAATAAACTTTTTTGTATTGTATGTTAGCGTAAAAATTATCTCAGCATCAACGCTCTACAAAAAATGCAAAAAAATTCTGCAATGTACGAAAATGCTGACCAAAATAATAATAATAATTCGAAAACTAACTTCTGAAAACGAATTTCATTTGTCTTAAAAATGAAACTTATTTAAACTGATAGGAGTTAAAATACTGAAAGCAAAACAAAAAACGTCATAGCTTCGTTTTTGGGAGTTTACTTCCGGTTTCGATTTTGTCAGTCTGCATACGAAAAAACTACTATAACTTCACTTCTAAAAATCAGAGAGATCAGAGATTTGGAAAAGCTAATGATCTAAAATTTAAATATGGATAAAAAAAAAAGGATTTTTGTCGAAATTGCTGATTTTTACTTAGTTGGATAGTGGTTTTTTGTTTTAAACAATGGTTTACTCAAATCATGTTTAATAGCAATAACAGAAAAAACTTGATTTTAAGAAATTAAGACAAAATAATTTTTATATAATTTTTTTAAAAATAAATTTTCCTACTATGAATTAGCAATGAAACAATAATTATATAAACAATATAGTCTTGGACTCCGGCAATAATGTTTGATTGCCGAATTATAAGAAGTTTTTTTTTGTATCAAATTTTTGATACCACTCACAGGATCTTTTTTTCCCAAAAAATTTATTATTATACTTTCTTAATTTAAAAATTAAACCACGTGTTCTCAATTCCGATTTGAATCATTTTAATCATTTCTTTATAATCGTTTTAAAAGATTTAAGTTAAAATCCTGTCTTTATACTGACTGTGAATATTTACAAAGTAAAATGTAAATTAATATTATAATTTTTTTGTTGCATAAAAAATGAACAAAATGTTATCCTGAAAGACTATTTATCTACATTCATCTCAAAATATTCACAATTACAAGTACTGTTTCAATTATTGGCAGGTTAATTAGTTTTCTGTTGTCCTTTTTCGTTTTAAGTTTTTTTTCTTATGGAAAACAAAATAGATTATAAAAATTTTAATAACACTCGTGGGCATAACCAAGAATACAATGCACGAAGACACAGAAACAAGTTAAAAAGTAGTTAATGAGTACATGCCTCCAAAAATTTAATCTTTTTTGCGAGGGGACACCCTAAAACAAACAGGGCCAAGACACCAATCTCCTCAACATTTCCGGTTATTGCGAAATCATCTAATAAAACCCCGCCAATCTCTCGAACAATTTAATTCCTAATGCATGTATCAACAAAGAAAACACAAAACGAGGAAAAAACATTCCATAGAAAACGATCGATGCGTACCGAAACCGTGACCTATGGCTTTTCAACTCGAACTCCCAGTGGCCGACCCACTTTTTGAGAAGATTCGAACAAAATCGTCGATGATACGTTGTATACAAGTAGTTTAACTAGACTGAATGAACCTACTTGGATTTCAAGGTTGGAATTAAACAGAAGACGATATGATATGATGATGGAATTTTTTAAAGGCCATCATCGACCATAATGGAATTCAAGTTGAGATTTGAGTGGGATTTGTATAGATTTAACCTCTGATCAAGACTAATGCAACAGACCGTATTCAGGATTTAACAAGGCATGAAATAAAAACTAAAAATTCTAATTTCTGTTGCTTAATCCGATGATTTTAGTTCCCAACATCTAATATTTTAATAAAAAAGTGTAAAATTACTCGTTTAAGAAACTCGTTAAAGTCATCAAACTACAAGGCAATCTTGTTAAGAATTAATCTACTTCCATTGCTTTGGTGGAAATCCTCGATGGGATTTCCCATTCCCCCCCCCAAGTATTTTAAGGGAAAATATCATCAATGTGATTGTTGTCATAAATAAATTTGTACATCGCCAAAATTAAGCAAGGCTATTTAACGATTCATTTTGACACCTGAATGTTAATTTTACTTTCACTAAATCTCGAGATCTCTTAAAGCGAATCGTAAAACTTTTGCACACAATTATATTCAATAAATAATTATCAACGAAAAAAATACCCAAAAATAATTATCAATGGAAAAAATAAATTTTAATAATTACTTAGTATTTTTTATTATTTTATTTAATAATGGTAGAAAATTTTTTAACTGTAAGGTATGCAAATTTTTACTATTTTTTTAATTGGCGGGCACTTGGGATGTATTGCCCCATTAGCCAGGAGTGCCAGAACTGCTACTCTCTTCTCTTTACCTAGTGGGCACCTGTGGCGAAGCCACGGCGGTGGAGCAGCGTCGCCCACGCCACACAACCACAAACCCGTTTATAGGGCCGGTCACATTCACACACAGGAGAAAGGACATAGAACACAGAGAGAAAGAAACATCCATGCCCTGAGCGGGATTCGAACCCCCAACCATCGGCTCCGCAGTCAGGCACCCTAACCACTCGGCCACCTGGTCGGCAATTTCTGTTGTTTTAAAGAATGTAAGGTTATAATTCAAAATTAGAACAAAATTCGAATAGTTCGCGATAAATCGAATTATAAAATTGGGTCCTAGAACGTAACAAACCGATTATTAGATCCAAAGTTATTCAGGGTGATTCATTTTTTTCCTTTTTTCTTGCGCACTGTACATGAAGTTGCAATAGTAGCCTAGCAAATTCATAAATATTAAATTTTACCAGAAAAGAATAGAATCACCATTTGTGTTATTACATTAAACATTTTCAGGAATTTTTAATTGAATAATATTTATGCTCTGTTGCAAGTTAAGAAAAAACCATTATCCCTATGGAGAGAGCCTGTTTGCATTTAAATGGATACCAAGCTTCAAACGCGAACGAATATCATCATCGCCAACTCTTGCAACTACATACGACGGCCTTCTTTTTGCTCATAAAACTTCTGCCCGATGAGTTTAACTTTTAAAAACTTTTATATTGTTTTGAAAGCATAATTATATCAATTTGGTAGCTAAATAGAATGGAACTATATGCAGACGCGGATGATTACTTAAATCCTATACCGCAATGGCCTTTTCTTAACTTGCAACGGAGTATAGTTTTGAAGTCATATTACCAGGGGTGGCCAAGCTCCTTAATAGTTGAGCCATTTTTCAAAATTTGAAATTTTTCGTGAGCCGCAATTAAATACGTATTTAAAAGGTATGCGAAAAAGGTATTAAAATTTTTTTACGGAAATTATATTTATTGAAAACATATAAATAAAAGTACAAAATATGTGTATTGAATTTAAATATTAAAAATTAAACACATTTATTTTATTTCTCTTGAAAATTCGTTAAAATTTGGTGAATAATTGGTGACAGCACTTCTCAGTAATTCTTTGAGATGCTGGTTAGTTTGAATTTCACGAATTTTAAAGTGGAATACTATGATTCACATAAGTACGTTGTTCCGAATATTGAAATAATTCGACAAGCAACCTTTTTTAATTCAGGATACTTCGATTCTGGTACAAATTTCCAAAATTCGGAACATACGGAACGATGATAAATTTTTAAAATATAATAGCACGAAAATGAAAAGGGAACTCGGGTACATTTATCGAGAGCCACAAATAATCCTTCAAAGAACCGCATGTGGCTCGCGAGCCGCAGGTTGGCCACCCCTGTCATATACAGTTCATTTATCGTCAAGAAAAAGAAGTGCTTACGAGGAAATCGTTTGGGAGTTGGTGAGAGGAGCCTCATAGTATATTATATTTACTTCTATATTTCTACATTATTTTTTACTATAATAATAAAAAAATCAATGAGTGAAAAGTAATAAAAATTAAAAAATCAATAAACAAAAAAATAAAATAAATAATAATAATAATTAAAAAAAACTCCAGTTTCGTCAATAACGCTAAACACCTGTTAAGAAACATTTGCTAAAGGTGAAATTAAGAATTCCTTCAATTTTTTTTAAGATTTTTTAATTAAAAAATTCCGCACTATGCATTTTATTAATGTAGGCTATGTAATAGATTAAATTTATTTAAAAAGGCATGATGAATCTCACAATTATACAGAAACTAAATTCGCGATGAAAACTTTTTTTGCCAGCAATTGAAATTAGATAAGCTAGAACGGAGTTCTACCAATAGGTATTCGAATGTTACCATAAAATTTCTCAAGTTCCATTCTGTAAGCTTTTATTAAGTTGAAAGATTTCTATTGTGAACTATAATTAATTGTTATTGAATACTGCTGCCTAAAAAAATTAATTATAAAAAAATGAATACTTTTTGAAACACTATCTTCATTTACATATTCGTAAAAAATAGAATAATAATTATGCAATTTCTACTTACTATCTTCGGCAAAAGCATCCATAATATCGTCACTGCCATATTCATGAATTATATGACCAGAAGTGAAGCAAGAAAGAAACAGAAATATTTTTATGCTTTCCTGAAAAAAAAAAGAACACAATTTAAGATTTTTTAAAAAAAATTAGAGGGCTCCACGCTAACCATTCCAATGCTAACGCTCGCCAACCCCCGGAACTGCTTTCGCTGTTCCTTTGGGTTGCTTTCAAATCCGAGCTCGCTCATCTTAAACTTTAATTTGAAATTGCAAACAGTTTATAAATTTTTCTTAATTGGGTACTTGCACTTCAAGAAGAAGAAGATCTCGGATACCCACACTTGTGACCTATGACGTCAGCTAATAGTTATAAGTAGAGCCCGGATTTTGATGATCTAAAAAATCTCAACTAATGCCCTTAAAAAGTGCAAAAAATGCCCTNTTTTTTTTTTTTTTTTTGAAGACTAAAGTTTAGAATAAAAAGTTCATAAAATTTTTCTCTATACAAAATACTGAACATATATTTGGTTTCTCTGTCCAAATTTCTAAATCCTATGCATTTCAGTTTAAAATTTTAATTTGAAATTGCAAACAGTTTAAATTTTTCGTAATTGGGTACTTGCACTTCAAGAAGAAGAAGATCTCGGATACCCACACTTGCAGAGCCGGCTTAAGCATGTCGCGGCCCCTAGGCAATGCTCGTCTCGGGCCCCCCCCCCTACCGTTTTTAACTTCCTAATATATTTTTTCGCTAACACAACACTTTATTCATAATTACGCTGTTTTTTACTACATAGGTATATTATCACATTATTCAATAAAAATATTGAATCAAACGAAAAGAATATAAGTAATTAATATATGCATTTAAAAAAAATCATACAATAAGCTTAAATATTAACTCTTCTAGCTTTTTTTGTTACAAAATCGTTCAAGACATCCTGAAAGTTAACCTTTTCCAATACATTAACAGCACTACAGTCAACTGATCAGTGTGTGATATATCTGGTGTCGAATCGACACTTATTGAGAAGTATTTGGCTTCAATGATTTCATTAACAATATACTATTTTAAAACCTTATTTCCCAATATTTCAATAAGTTCCTCGCAAATCGTTGCAGACAAATACGATTGTTTTCCTTTGCCTTCATTACCATATTTTGCTAAATGCGAATTAAGAAACGGATCATACTCAGCGATTAACTCTAAAATTCCCACCGATTTTCTCGAAGCCCAAAGCACTTCTGCAGTCTTTATAAATAAATATCCAATACTTAGCTCTAAATTAGTAAGTTTTGAAACACAAACTGTAAAACTCTCTTTTCATTCACAGCCGTAAAACTCGCAAACAAATTGCACGAAGTGAAAATTCAACGATTACATTAAAAATGTTGTCGATGACACAANCTTCATTGTTTGGAAGCCAGTGTAATAATGAAAATTGATAAAAAAATAATAAAAATTGGAAAAAATTAACAAAAAACTTTAAAAAATGCATTAAAATGCAAAATACGCCCCAAAAAATGCCCTATAAATCTAAAAAAATGCTCTAAAAGACAAAAAAGGTCCAAAAATGCAAAAAAAATGTAAATGTCATCAAAATCCGGGCCTTAGTCATAAGCAAAATAGCGTGTTAAAAAGCAAAATGGCAAATGGCTAAGTTTCTCCACATAACTTAGCATGTAAATTAAGGTGGAATTAATTGAATTCAGTGCCGTATCGCTCCTCGAATTTATTGAAATATAATTCTTTCTCGTCTCTGACTTTTACTTAACTTAGATTTTTTATTTGTTTATGTATTTTATCGTAATCTTGATAGATTTTTGTTTTGGGTACCTGGCAACTACAATGCATAATTAGTTTGTTTATGTTCTACCATGGCTTCGTTTCTGTCTTTGTGTTAAGTAAGAAATATATGGTGAAAATGCAATGTTTGCAAATTTCAGAATTTTTTTTTTGAAAAATAAGTTATTATTAAATAAAAAAAGAAAAAAAATAAAAAAATAATATTAATTGGAAAAACAAGCAACATCATCTTATTTTTCGGTAAATATTTTAAACAATAAAAAGAGTTTAATTTACAAGATTTCTTAATATTTTTTAATTATTCCACTATGGGCCACAATGCTTGTATTGTATATGAGATATACCCAGAGAAAATTACGTTGTACCAAAATATTATAAACATTCTGTAGAAATATAAAATTATTATGTTATACCAAATATCTTATATGAAAAATGGAAAATTAACAACCGTGACTGCGCTTGTCTCTTAAAGAAAAATAAGTCAGGGTTTATCTAGGGTTAAAAACCAGGATATTAAAAGATGATCGTCCTTAGTGTATGTTTTTAGAATCCTTTACGATAATTAAGGAAAAATAATTATGCACGTTAAATGATCGCAATTTAATATTTAAGTAAAGTTTTTTTTAAAAAAAAAACTATAAAAATCTAACCAGTCAATACTGAGGCATGCGAATTTAAAACATCTAAACTTGCCTAATTACAAAAGTAAACACAGAAAGGATTTTAATGACTATTTCTTTTAACACATTGAAACTAACTATGGCGATCTAACAGGTTTCGAGGATTGTTCCCACTTTCTGCATAATTAAAATACCTCGCTTTAGTATCATTTGCGACTCATAATGTACATACTTTTGGACTCTTTGAAAAGAAATTTAAAAATACTTATTAAAGACGCACATTATAAATCCTTAACAAAAGTATAATATACCCCTGACATTAGTATAATATCAAGATACAATATAAATTGTACGAAACAAATAGCAAATTATCAGAAACACTAACTAAATAACTCGAGCCAAGATGATTCAGGGGATGAAACTCCCCACTCCTAATGGGGCGACCAAGGTTCAATTACCAGCGATGGCTGGTCGATACGAATTTTGCTCAAGGCTGGCACCGACCATAGTACTGATGTAAAATATCCTCAGTGGTGGACGGCTCATGTTTCCCTTGCTGTCTGGCTAACCTTGGGAGAATTTCGTGGTTTTTTTCTCGCTGTAACGCAAATGCGACTTATCAGAAAAGTCCTCCACAAATGGTAGTTTTGTACCTATGCTTGATGCAGAAGTTTCCTCGTTTTCTGGAATGGGTTCAAAATTACAAAGCTACCGAATTGAACATTGATAGTTGTAAACTTAAAAATGGGTCGACTGCTCAACGCTGGTTATGAAATAAAGTAAAACTAATTAATTGCCTCAAAGTTTTCCTAAAATTTTAATATTATCTCGCATGCTACTAAGAAAATCAAATATTTACTTCTCTTTCATTACTTCCTCTTTTGTATACTATTTTAATCCGTTTTCACTTTCTCAAGGTAAGATTTGAAAATCAAGGTTATGGAACAATTTATTCACTAAAATAAGTAAGAATATAGTTGAGCATTAATCAACATCTATCTTACAGTTCAGAAAATTTATTTTAAATGCCACGTCATTACTTTGACTCATGAAAAAAATATTCTTCAAGGAATAATGGACATTTCTTTTTAAAACTGTTTAAAATATTACAAATTTCAATAGAATTCATTTACTTAAATTGACTTGAATAGAATTCATATTCATAAATAATTTGCTTCATTGAAATAGACAGCAGGTCGTATGCATTAACACTTGAAATGATGTTGTTTCTACAAATTAAGCAGGTTTTTCAATAATATGTGTACGTTTTTAGTTTCGAAAGGTTCATGCTTGTGAAACAAGCATTTATTTTTCTTAATTTTATCATAGTTTTATCATAAATATTAATATGTATTCGCTGTCACGTTAATTTATTCCTACTTTGTGATTAATGTACTTAATAAAGTATAGCGCGAAACTTCATCTCTAAAATGAGTTTGAAGTCTCTGAATTAAAAATAAATTAATTACGCAAGAAGATGCTTTTACAGAAATATACTTAACAAAACAATTACAGAAACACAAAAATTATGCAATTAATGGATTTAGTGAAAATAATTAATTTATTTTGAAGATAGTACGATTTGATATTCATTGGTCATCGACTGCTGTATCACGAATTTTGGTCTTAAAAATCCGTCGCTGCTCTTCATTCCTCATTCATTGATAAAAAGCACTCATTCATTTAGACACGTATTCTGATTTTTATTCATTCTACCCTACATTCCCTTATTCATTCTATAATTCCTTTATTCTCTCATACATTCCTTCTGTCATACATTCCTTCTATATTCATTCGATCATTCATTTCCTTATTAATTCATTCCATGATTCATTCACTTATCCATCTCATCATTCGTCGATTCATTCGATCATTCATTCATTCTATCATTCAATCCCTTATTTTTTTATTCTATCATTCTTTAGTTTATTCCCTCATTCGTTTATTCCTACATTCCCTTTATCGGTCCCATCATTAATTCATCGAATTATTCTATCGTCCATTAGTTTATTCAATTGCGTTCCTGCGGCGTATCAAATATTGTTTCCCCGACGAACAGTCGTTATTGTAATACTGTCAGAGGGACGATCCATTAAATGCTCTCCCTAAAGTTCTAATCTTTTCATTCCAGATTAATATGAGATTAAAAACCTATACAAACTTGTTTAATTTTAAGTGGCCTGCTTAAGTTTAATGGAACAAGAGTCGAATATTTTTTTCATGTTTAAACTTTGCTACATGCTTAAAATAACAAAGTTAAATAAAAACTATGTCCAAGGAGAAACGTAAGAACAACCAATCTACCTCGAAAACATAAATAAAAATCACTAACCAAAAGGAATACCTAATTACTTTGAAGAAATGTTGGAGCATTAGTAAATATGTGCATAATTATTTGTTTTAACAAAGTGTTTCAATTGACGAATTTGCAAGGAAATTTAAAAAAGCAGCACTCAATTCAAATTGAACATAGATTAAAAAAATTAATTTTAGATTTTTTCTTGCTTTTGTACATCTATAGTAAAGGCTTCTGTAGCCATACTGTATTAGACTGTAAAACATACAAACGCACTTCAAATACTTTTTTTAATATTTTTAATGGGACGTTCTTTGCATTGTGTTAAGACTAAGAAAATGAATTCATGGATGTTTTGCAACAAAATCAAACAATGATTAAC